CTCTACTCGAGCAAAAACTGTAAATCCCCCTCCTCTTTCGCCCTGGCATCCTTTCTCGGGACGGAGAAGTCTTTATTCGTGCCGCCGACATGTGAGCTCATCTTACTCGCGAGGCCTTCATCTAAATTGCTGATGTATGCCAGGAATTGAAGGGGTGACAGGACCTCGCCCTGAGAGACGAGGGGGGAGGGGGGGGGGAGTGCGGGGGAGGGGGGGCGGGACTCCGACTCCAACAACTGCTGTTACTTCTCCATTTCCATTTACTCGCTGGTCTCTTCCCTCCAAGCAGTTAGAGTCGATGCTCGATGTAACGGACTCGAAGAGGCAGGCTAGAAAATTTCGTCATGAGGAAAATTAGTTACAGGGAGGTCTCCACATTTACTGGAAAAAAAGGCCTCTTAAACAAAATGTCCTTTATGGTCGAAAAAGGATGCAGTCGTCCTTCCGTGAAAAAAAATGCGAAAATCTAAACGCGTGTCATATTGCGAAAATGGATCTTTCGAGACGCGTGTACGTATGTACCTAAAAGGTCGTGCACAGAAGTGCGTGAAGCAATAAAAATCGAAGGAGTCACGGACGGTGTCTATTCATCGGACTCGAAGTCCCGAATGGTTGTCAGCCGCGCTTTTTCCTGGACGATTATTCGAACCGTGGTGTGCAAACCACTCGATGTTTGAAGAGTTTCGGGCTCGACGTTCGGTCATCGACCGAAGAATGGCCGAAGGCCTCGATTTTCCGACGGAGCAGGATTCTGGACTCGGCCTGACCCGAATCCTTAAAATCTGAGGATTAAGACGTCTCTCCCTTACTTTCCACAGACTCATCGATGAGTGAGTGGAACGTACTAAATTTAGACACGAGATGAGATTTTCAAGGAATGCACTAAAAGAAAGCAGCTCCGACGTGTGTCGCAGATTTAAACTTCGTAATAGGGAAGTTTCGTTCCTTCGGACGAAAAAACCCTAAAACCGAACGATTCGTCATACTGAACTTCGTCGTGGAGAAACTTTCCGACATGCATGGGAATCGGCAAACGGCCGGCGACTGGAACGAATTCTTTAAAAAGAAAATTCGTCGGTCCGTGACACTCTGGGATCGGAACCGATCGGTCGTCGGAATTCCACTCCCTCCGCTTGCCGTGCCGAGATTCCCTCGAGACGAGGACGGAGCGAGGGCACCGACAGGAATCGTGCCATTTCTCGTCCCTCGTCGTCCTCGAGATCTCGTCGTGCTTTCCATCCTCCTTCCCGGAAACGTCGCGAGACTCGCCGACCCGTGATTTCTCGGAAAGCTCCTAGCCTTCCCTCTCGAACGTCGTACCGACGTTCCTCGATTTCCCGTCGCCGTCGACTTCCCCGCACAAAATGTCATTCTTCGAAACGATTCTAAACGGTATCGATGCCTCCAGAAGAAATTCTTCGACGACGAGCGACTTCCGATCGGAGCCGGTTGCACGCCTGCCGTCGGTTTCCCGTTCGACTCGTCTTTTTCTCTCGGACGACGATGTCCTCGACCGCGAGCGGCAAACGAGCCACTTTCGAAGCCGCGAGCGAGCGAACGTACGGGGCATTTCAAAAGTGACTTCCGCTGTTCAGACGACTGCCCCAGGAAACCGATGGACACAACGTCGTGAAACTTGATGTTTAGACCGACTCGACCGTGTCGAAAGAAACGTATACTGTTTCGTGGTGGCCTGTCATGACATCGTGGGCACACACGGTAGCTTATGATACCTTAGACGTAGGATGCATGGTCTGAATGCATATTCGAGCAGTTTTTAACGAGTCACTACGATGAAGAGCTCGAAGCAGAGAAAGGAGCTCGTTGGACTCCGGTATGAAAATTCCAGGAATAGCGAAGCAGCTTTGGCTTTGGGGTCACCTCAAGAGCCGTGTTTACCGCAATGGCCTCGCCACATGTCACGAGTCGAAGGAGAGCATGAAGCAGGAAGTCCGCTCCATACCCCCTGATATGCTTCGGGTAGCGATTTGGAACGCGTCGTCACGATTTGAGATCATGACTATCACGAAAGGCAAGCACATCGAACGGCTATCAAAAAAACGTATGCCACTTGTGGAACATAGGTACCATCTCGTGTGACCGTGATGCCATCACGAACCACCACACGACTGCGTACGTTTTCTTCCGCATGGTCGAATCGGTCTATGCACCAAGCTTCACAACGTTGCCTCCATCGGTTTCCTGAAGGTAGTCGTCTGAACGGCGGAAGTCGCTTTTGAAACGCCATGTACAGTATACCTCTCGAAATATGTTTCCTTTCGATTTTGCAGCGAGACGAGACGAGGCAAAGCAAGATAAAGACGAGATCGCGTCCGATGCCGTCTCTTCGCTTCCTACGTCTTTCCACGAGGATGGATCCCAGAAGAATCCGCATCTCTCTTAGCGGAGCGGAAAAAGATACGGATCGGAGAGAAAAGGAAAAGTTGGTTTGCTGGAATGTCACCTGCAGGTGGGGAGGGAGGGGGGCGGGGCCTTGGTCATGTGCCCCCGCACGAGGCGCAAATCCACTAGGGGCTCCAAAACGAGACCGAATTAATGAAGCGATAATGCCATCCTCCAAAAACGATGCACCGGTGCATCGTTTTGGAAAGACCCCTTCCTACAGTTCAGTTTTTCGCTGAGTATAATTTGGCTCTTCGAGGCTCATGTTGGGAATCAGGCTTGGGAATCTCTTTGGAAAGGGCGCCGAAACAGCCAGGGCCGACCCTGAACCCGTTCCCCGAATCTCTTAGCATGCCGCAGAGCGTGCGCGTCGAGAAGTCAACACGTTTGTATCGTTTCGCACCTTCGGTGGTTTTGGATCCAAACCCTTGCGATCGTGCAACGCACGGGAAGGAAAATCGGGTTCCACGATCCGAGGGCGAAAATCGCACACGGATGCAAAGCAGCCGTTTCTGCTATTTCTCGCTACGGTCGTCGATTACCAGCGACGAGTGAGATTCGGAAGAGACTCTATCAGCCTCACGAGCCCACATCGGACGCCCTTTCGAGTCTTCTCCAAATCGGCTCAGGTTTCTGATGCCTTGCCGTTTATGAGATTTGGAATCCGAGCCAAAGGCAAGAAATTCACAAAACAACACCTTCCATCGATGATCGTCTCCGACCCTGCATGATACCTATATTCGTAAATATGGGTACCACGTACGTTGTGCATTCTTTAGACCGAGGTGGTCCACGATGGGAGTAGCAAACATTCCTAGTAGCATATAACATCGAATCAACATCGATTCGACGTTGGTTCAACCTCCGGAATCAACGATGCTGATTCAATATCGAATCCATGTTATTTCAATGTAACACGCTACTAGGGATGGTATGTAGGCGACATTTAATAATTTTACGTGGAATGAAATTTGACTTTCCGAATGCTGACTCTCGTTTGCGACAGATCTTGCCGCTGCTTTTTAAGGGTCGCTCCTTCAGGCCGATCGGTTCATGGCATGCGATGAGACGGGATGAAGGAGAAAAAGACACAGAACTCTAGTAACCTTGCACGAAACCCGATTTCATCGAAACTTCTGTCAGTTATCGTCAAGACCATGCCGTCTTTAAAGTCGACCGACGCTTGGAAGGTTGGAACAGGTGAATGGAACAGAAATTCCAGATTCCGATCGCCAGGGAAGCAATGAATTCAAGGCATTCCAGCGATTCAATTATAAAAGCGATTCGAAGAATAAATTATCATACGAGTGAAGCGAAGCTGGGGGTCATCATTAATCATCCCCCGCATGGACGATTACACCCTCGAGTAATTCCCCGCCGCAATGAGCTCTGGCAACTAATGCCCACGTGCATTCCGTAAGCATGAACTTGTTTTTCTGGCGAGAGAGAGGGAAGGAGATGAGCGAGTCCACGGGACAGGCCGAATTCAATTTCCGGGTTCTCATCTGCTTACAGCGCTATAGCCAGTCGATGAAAGGAGAGACGCTGTTGCTCTCTCGTCGAGGGGAGGAAACATCACGAGGCGCAATTATGCAAGGCAGCCTTGATTATGAACTTCTAATTCTAATATGTAGTAAGTTCCACCCTGCACTCCAGGGCTTCATTACGATTACACTTGATGCTATGAAAGGGGCACGAAGATGAAGACGAAAATCGATATTCGGTCCTTCTCCCGATCTAACCGTGTGCATCAAGAGAAATTGAGAGCTTCAAGCAGGTATTTTATACGAAAAATTATGCAACATGCGCTTTTTCTGCCTACCGCATTTCATGAACGCCCTGAGTTCGATGAGCTAATTAGCATCCAAAATGTTACACTTCCCATCCCGTGACGTCGATATATGTGCGTGGGCTTTGGCCGAAATCTGCGATAAAAGCCTAAAACTTCTATGTGCAAGAATTTATCAAAGCGTCATCAGACTTCCGAGAATGCTGAGAATTGTCTACTGATCCCTTTCAAATGCAATGTTTGACGCTGACATCTGCTGAGGGTGTTTTAGGAGCACTTATGGACACGATGGTAGAACGCCTTCGGAATATCTCACTCAAAATGGGTCAACTTAGGCTATGTATAACTTCACCGTCCAAAGTCCCCCAAAATTAAAACTATTCCCCCGATCCATTGAAAGAATGTCCCCAGTGATCCTAATAGGTGTACGAGTCCGTACCGGATTTGGTCCTTCCACAAAATTTCGCATTCCCCGCACATAATTTTGCGATTGGTAAAAAATGTGCGGGTTAAAGGCTTTCATAACTTTCTTTGATTATTGTCAGTCTGGGAATCATTGATCCTTTTTTCGGAGTGTTTTACGCTCTCTGTGCTCCTCCTTTCAATGATGCATGGAATGATACATACTGTACGGTCGCTAAAAATTTCACTAGTTAATATGGGATTGCCCTTCGTCCCTAAATACCTTTTCTTTAAAGCAACAAATGCATTAATTTCCATTTGGATTGGTAAATGTCTCAGCATTTGAAAAGCATTAAGCATCCACATTCTTCAAGATTCCTATTACAAGTGACACAAAATGAAACAGTTTCATTACTCCATATCAACTTTCTTCATCTTTCAATAGTAAACAACTAAAATACAAATACTGTGATGAAAAATGCCAGTGAAGCTCTGCATGAAAGCAGTTTGAAACTGAAAAAAAAAAGCCATGAACTTGATGAGATGCATGCAGAAGGAAATTCAAGTGAAGAACTGCCAGAACAACTGCAGTAGCACCAGCTGGGCACATTCCATAGGAGATGGAGGAAGAACTGGTTCAGCCTGAGGTATGGCATCTTCATTATGGCATGATGGAACATTCTTCTCCAACAACTCTATTCAAGTCCTAATGACAATCATTCATCAAAAAATCTTCCTTATAAACTTCAGTCATTGCCAAAACTCTCTGCAAAGGCATCAACACAAGAGGAAGAGTGAAACAATATCACAGTCCAGGAGAACTTTCTTTACACTCTCTAGGCTTCTGGATATCATGTTAACCTGGATATATATATCAAAGGATTATCCATCAAAATTTGGTGCAGTCACATGAGCACACCATATTACCTTTGCTTCTGAAATTTTATTCCAGCAATAAGATGGGACCTGAGACAGTTAATGGATGAAAGGATGTTGCAGAGGGCTCTGACCATGAGAGGATAACACTAGCATGCAAGCGGCTCTTTGTTCATATACTCTGTTCATATCCTGAGCAATCACTCAGCAATCCCATAAAGAAGAACTATCTCTGTATCTCATGCTGATTTCCATCCACCATTGTGACTCTGCCCATCACATAGCCATTCCACTGCAGCTACTTTGAATCCAATTTCTACCCTAGCTGCCATAATACCAACTGTCACAATGAACACTCTCAGAGACACGACAGATATATGGCAATCACTTGATGGCACTTAGCATTTGTGCGATAAACCACAACTGTCCTTTCGGACCAAGGTATTGGGATATGTGAGAGTGGTGAGATGTCCAAAGAACTCAGAATGAATATGTAACTTGAGGCAGGCACTTACAGGGTCTCAAAAGTGACAGTAGTAACTTCAACTTCACAAGGAGAAACAACTTTCTTCTTCTCACCCTGATATCACAGGAGGCAAGACACAGGACATCCTTTGAAGGATTCCAAAGACTGTTTTTTTTTGTGAGACAAGCTTGTGCAAAGAACATGTGAAAAAAGAGAGGCGGAAAGACAGAACGTCCTCCGGTCCTAGTGGTTCAATAGCGGACAGGTACCCAGGCTCCACTCTCATCCTTGCGATAAAAATGTGGACGGTTATCGGGGAAGATGGTCACCGAAGGGAACGGGTGCTCCTGGATGTGCTTCAATGTGGAGCGTACCTACAACATACAATGGCCCATTTGAACATCCAGATGTCCCCTATTAACTAGAATACTTTTAGAAAGGAGATAGAATAAAACTTGGGAAATGAAAGGGCCATGCCCACAAGGTACCAAAAGTTTGCATCGGAACTGAACCAAACAGAACATCACTTCATCCTTGCCACAAACAGTGAACCTGAAGCACTTTGCCAAGCATGTACCTTTACTATTTTCCTAGTGTGAACACATTGTGTATGCATGTGATAGGGAGCTTCCATGTGTTTCATGGTGGTGAAGATACTGAACAGTCATGTAGTTAAATAAGTTTGGAAAAATGACTCAATTTCTGCCAAGAAGCATGAAAGAGCTTTTTTGTAAGAACATCATGGAGTTATATCACCATCTGGAAATTGGGATCCAAATAGAGAAGGTACACCCAAGGTATAAAGAGAACCATAGAAAGTGCATGCAAACAGCAGCAAGAAATCAAACAGTATGGTTGAGCTTAGACATATGGTTGGAATATTATGAAGTCCCAGGTCCAATATTATCTTGAAATGATATCAAGAGGAAAGAGGCAAACCTGCATGACAAAATGTGGAGGTTCAACTTCTGGTGATGTAGAGAGATGTTGAAGGATGAAGTCATCTGACTGTTGGAGCCAGAGATCCACTCCTCTCAGGGGTTCATAATTGAAAGGACCGATCCTCATCAGCCCCAAGTTTGCATCGTAGATATCCAGGATCTCCAACAACGGCAAAGGAATCCATCATGGCAAATGTACACGAGGAGAAATAAAATTATAATTTCAGTGATACTGAACCAACCTGGTGTCCACCAGTGAAGTGCCTGGCATTTCGAAGGGGCATATCAGGTCCCTTTTCTGGGAATGTGGCAGGAAAGATCTCTCCAGTCTTCACATTCACAGCTGGTAAAATAGTCAAATAAGTGCATATCAATCACTAGTCATTCACTTACTTCAGCTTCTCTCAAATTTCTTTGAGGGAGTTCCTTTAAATGACTGCATATAACTAATTCTCCAAACCATGCATGCGGCAATCAAAAGGATAAAAATAAAAGAAATTGCTCCAGCTGGTATTGTGAATTTCATGGTTTTCACTGCGACCCAATAAATATTATATTTTAAGTAATGGGCACCAGTCAATTAGTCACTAGTTAGATTGGCTACCTTCCACAAGACTAACAGTTCATAACGGCTCTTGTCCTAAACCAGCAAACTTGTATGGTCTAATCAGTCCAACTTTGCTCTGCTATCATAGCCTGTTTTATGGTAGCTCATTAATCTGGTGCTGTCATCCACTAGTCAAAACCTCAGAAGGCCATCAGTAGAACCTAGGTCTTTCATGGCTGCTCTATGTGGAGAAGACAAAATCTTCTCAATCATTCATACATGATGCCTGCCCCCTCCCCTCAGAGGAGAGGAAGACAGATGACATTTAACCCTTTGGTGTCCAAGTACTTTGAATGTGTCAGCACTGTCATCCAAGTTTTTCTATCCTTCATCATGATGCCAACACAAGACAACTAGGTCATGGACCCCAAAAAGGCTAATGACTCCTTTGAGGATTAAAAGTGTAGCAAAATTGGACAAAATAGATCCCACTTGCATTTTTTTTTCAAGCAGTTACAGTGATTTCAATTTAAACACAGGGTGATTATAAAAGTCACTTGACTCAGCAATCTGGCATGAAAACTATGTACTGTCACTCAGAGAAACTTGGTAATATAATAAAATACCCAAAGATGGGCATGTTGGTGATGGGTAACAGTGCATGAAAAATTCCAACAACCAAGCATGCATACCATGTACACCCCAGCAGTGACATAGGCAGCCTTATCAACCTACAAGCATATATATCACTTCAGAGTTGTTCATGTGACATACGTTAGCTGTTGGAATTTTAATACATCAGGATGGCCCATCATGGAGTATAAGCCCTTAAAAGATCTATCACCAGGTATTTTACACTACCACAATATTAGGGGAAAGCATTACATGTAGAAACCACATGCCTCAAAGGGGATGCTGCTGATGTGACATCATTTCTATACACAGGAGGTACAGCCATGGATGGGCATATATGTAAGGCAACAGGGAAGCACTGAGCCAGCTCCAGTAGGATATTATATTGGTCCAACGTACTTTACTAGCAGGTGTGTGATGAATCCATGAGTAATAACATTTAACAAGTACTATTTGCTGCATATAGGTGAGCACGTTTACAGACTACTGGAGAATTGATTGCACTATGAACACCATTATGAACCAATGAGAGCTATACCTCTTCACCTCTTGCAAGCCAATGATCAGGTGCTTGTCCTCTATACTGAATCCCATGATGTTCTTATTAATTTTGAATAGTGTGCATCAAGACATGACAATAACTGTAAGAATGGAGAGTTAGGCCTTATGCCTGCAGAAAATTATAATATAAAAAATGCAACCTGAACACAAAGAAACTGTGAAAACACAAGGTAAGAAGTAACAAAAACCAGTTTCTCCACTGAGAATGCCTGCTGCCTGTGCTCCATCATGGTGGGAGTACAGCAAGGGGATGCACCTGGTGAGGAGCAGTGGGCAGATTGGTTGTTCACTATAATTTTTGATTATTCAGTTTTAAAAATTTACTGCATTTGAATCACTGGTTGAGATTTTCTTAAGTTTAGCAGAAATATATTTCACTGATCTTAGATTTCATGAACTAAAATCATGAGGCACACATGAAATCAAATGGAGACATTAAAAAAAATGAATTGATCCCCTTTCTTTTGAGACATAGTGCATATGGCCATCCATAGCTGCACCTGCAGTGTAAACAAATGTCACATCAATTGCATCCCCGGTTAGGCATGTGCTCTTTTCATGCAACATTTACCCCTGATATAACACTATTCCCCAAGTTTCACCAACCTGCAGTGCATAGTTTTTATGCTAGAGTATCATAAACCAATCCAGTGACCTTATAATCACCCTGTACTTTTTAAAATTCTATTTCTAAACTAGTGGTGATAACTTATATGAGAGAAGCTTGAGAAAGAGGTATTTTTTTTTAACTTTTTCTCTGTTATGCACCTTGTCCAATGGAGAACGTTTCACTTAGTTAGTGTTGAAATACTGCAAAAGTGCTGAAAAGTACTGAAGTACTGCAAAAATTGGTGAGATTCTTTCATAATATGAATTCCTTTAATTTGCCAGAAACTTTTTTTAATTAATACATTTTAACTGGAATACAAGAATGTTCTTGAACATAAAAGAAATCAATGAAATTGCTTGGTGGTAGTTACATCATGTAGTAAGAGCTAGTTTTCTCTTGAACCATGAACAATCTGTTGAAACATTAAAACACTCAGGAAAGGGCAACTTCAATTCTGAGGCAATTAGTCCTTATTAATGGTATTTTCAAACTCTTGGCAGTGCATGATGAGACACATTCTGAGAAAGCATCAAGAGTGATTATGACTCCCATCACATGTTGGTACTGTACTGAGGTCATGGAGCAATACTCCTTCAGAGATAACCTGATAATCTTGGACTGTTGAATTCACTGCATGCAGAGACAAGAAAAATGTTTTAATAATGATGTACCATTATAAGTACCATTATACCACCAGCCGTTATAATTTTTTGTTCATAAGCTAGAGGGATAAATATGATACTTCTTTCAAATACCTGTTCCAATAAACTTTAGTGTTAAAAGAGCTTAACCCTGTAATTCTCATTCTGAGTCCTATGGATCCTGATGCAAAAATTTAGTCATTTGTGTAGATTGTGCTATGAACTTGTACAGTCTGATACTCCATGTATTTTTCTGAAGACATGTGATAGTAATTAGGCAAAGTATTTTGAAGAGATTATTTGGAAATTTGGAGATGAAACAGAGTGTTAAATATATGATCATTCTGGTTCTGGTAGTTATAGGACTGAATATAAATTTATCTACTGCCTCTTCCTCAATGAGGAGTTTTCAGCATATGCAAAAACGTCATTTTGACTATTGAAATCCAGTAAATATGAAGTATTCAAGGAAATCACCAATGCCATAGATGATGGGCCAGTGGATACCACCTCGAATGGTACTGTTCAATTCCCCAACGCAGAGAAGAACAAGGTCAATCTCCATCGGGAGCTTATGGAATGCATCTGGATAAGAAGAAACAGGTCCCTGGTTTAGACCTCCCTTCCCCATTGACCAAAGCTGCATGCATTATTGAGAAATAAGAAAGAGACAGAGTAGCTGAGTGGCGATGTCCTCAGAGATGCCTCTGGAGTCATGGAAGCCACCGACCAAGTGGAGTTCCAGCCTCCCCTCAGGGTATCCCAGGCTTAATTCCTGCACTCGTTGTACCAGAGCTGCTGCCCCTTCATCCAACCATGACCCATTGAAATGAGTCAATCCCACTGCACCTGAACCTGATGAAGAAATATTTTATGAAAAGTGAACTGTCAACAACTAAATGCTGTTTCATCAGATCACAAAATGAAAAGTCTGATGGAACCCTTCTGGTACTTTTTTTTTCCTTTGAGCTAATAATCTGAGATTCTCTTTACTAAGCTCTACATGAATACAAATTGTGGATAATTTTGACTTTTACAAAGTATTTTGCTTTCGACTGATTTGTATGTCAATGGAATACTGTAATCAAAGAGAAGTTGGTAGTTAAGTTTTATATTTAATATTGTAAACACATTAACACGTGCCTCACTACCTATGAAATTAATGGGTAGGCAGAATAAACAACTCATCATTTTGAAAACTTAAATGTTAAAAACCCATTGATCATGCTATCCTTCTGAGTTGCAGCCATGTTGAAACAAGGACTTCAATTAAAGTTAGAACCTGCATTCTGAACTTCTTCCAACCAGTTAAAATTAATGTACATGGTTTATCATACATGACTGTTCTGCGAAATGATTATGTCATCAAGAAAATTATAAATATTAGTATACAATAAAGTGGGTCCTATTGGTGGCAGTACAAGTAAAGGGGATGAAACTAATCACTATCTGATCCTTCTGCTCATGAGAGGAATGACTTAAAAGTTTCTGCCCTAAGGTAATCGAAATAATTAGATAAGGCTTTCAAAGTTGGTACACGTACTCCATTATCCTATTTGGTGATTTCAAGTGTTAGCAATCGCTTTTAACTACATCTCTTTTTTAATCACTAGTATTAATGACTGTTCCATCCAAATATTATCCTATTACAAAATGGCAAAAATGTGAAAACAGAGCAGTGATGCAGTTTTTAGTATTAAAAAAGTTCATTTCATACCAATTAATTTATCCAAATGAAGCAACTCATTGATGCTCTGAAATTTAAAGAAATACTTCCTTGAAATCAGCAACAAATGTGACAATGAATTCAATAATGCTGACCAAACATTTTAGAAAACAATGAAAATGCAATTTTTTCCCATGAGATTGAAGCCCTGTCCATTAATGGCACAAATGTTGATGTCAGGAGAGGTCGTGTAGAAAAAGAAATATTGTTTCATGAGTCAATCACATTTCCTTTTACCTCAGGACAGAAATTTCTGGATCATTCCTCATACGAGTATGAGGGATGACAACACTGTCTTTCATAAAAGTTTTAATATCCCACATGTCCTACGTAATAAAGATCTGAACGGGTGAAATGCTTTCATATCTAGTACATCTGAAAGTTAAATTCAGGCTACTATATCACAGTGAAAACATGTGAACTTTTGCTGTACTTTCAAAGCAGAAGCATAAAGTGTCAGAAGCGTCCATACTATCCTTGCACAGAGACAGACTGATATGAGGACGAGTTTATAATGGGCAAGGGTTCTTGAAGTGCGCCTCAGCTACAGTACACGCAAGCGTACTATGAATGCTACGAACAAGTTCATTCATACAACAGCAAAGCCCAAAACTGCAATATTCTTCATCGTTATGCAATCCCTGAGAACCATGAATGGGATAAGAGAACTATCGGTGAGTTTATCTGATGCTTAGTCGGACGTCGGCACAGAAGAAGCAAAATTATTAACATTAATATTAACAAGTAACACTAACATTGACATTTACAATAACATATGCATAAGCATGAACAAGAACAAGAACATGATCATGATCATGATCATGTCATGTCTGTAAGGGTGAGAAGAGACTGGAGGAAGAGGTGCCAAAAGCACATGGTGCAGCCGACCGTGACCACAGACTTTCAAGGGAAGAAAAAAAAGAAACGAGGCAGACAGAATGAAGAGAGGAAAGAGAAAAAAAATACGTGGACCATAAATGGTGAGAAAGGGGACTGGTATGATGGGGATGAGTATGATGAGGGTGTTGCGGTCAAGAACCCGGGCTGCGGGCTCAGGGCGCAATCACGAGATAATCACAGGTGACCCTGTAAATTACAGCTACGTTCTTCCATCTGATTGCCTTCCTGCTCCCCCCCTCCCCAAAGGGAAAAGACTTCAAGGTCAATGGTGGGAAACTCACCGGAGTGCCTGAGAACGGCCATGTGACACGTCGTCGCATCCTCCGTCCCCAAAATGCTCACGTTCTCTGTAACGACCAACCATGAACCGGTTCCATTCTCATCAGCCTCGAATGCGTTCAACGAGAAACACATCTAACTCAGTTTAATTCGTCACATCGTCACTTTTCACCTTTGCCCAAGCATGACACTTTTGATGCTACAGCATCTCGATCAAAAACTGACTGCAAGAAGTCATATCCCTTCCTGAAAGTCGCTTTAACCAATTACTTTACAAAAATGTTACTTGGTCCATGAATTTTGACACTGTTTTCACATCATCAAACCAAGCTCTTTCTTGGACGAAATTAATGACACCAGACGCTTCAAGCAATCGCGTCAATAAAACGATTGTGAGGTCTATTCATGGCAATCGGCAATGGATGAAAATGAATTTGGTGTATAACGTGGATAAAAACTTAGGCTTACTGTCATGAGGAACCGTCGCGGCCATTTCCCTTTGATTGACGTAGAGGAGTCCAACGGGGCCGACGACTTTGGTGGGCATGGCGCAGAGGGAGGAGGCCGTTTCCTTGAATACGGGATGGGCATGGATCAGGCTCCGCGTCTCACGTGCCAGGGGATTCTCCAACACCACCCCACCCACCACCAACGGCATCCTCCCTTCGATCTATCTTCCTGTGGGAATCAATAGTTGACATGTTTTAACGAATGCATGGATGACTTCTTCAACAGCATCTTATTAAAGATCCTCGTTCAAGACACCTGAATTCCAACCTCACCAGCACTCGCGATTAAGCCTCTTTTTTTTTTGCAGGAAGCAGTCATCGTAGAAATAAAACTCATACCCGCGACAATTTATCACCTAACTCATAACTAATTACTGACTCAAAGCTAGTTATGGGGGTTAATGACCTCTGATGCATTTGCACTGAAACCAAAATGACACTGAATATGATCATAACAATTAGAATCACTTTGGCTTTGATGTTTCAAGCACAGTTAAAGTTATGTTTGCACAATCTAGACATCATCTATTACTGTCATACTAGTCCACAATTACTGTCATGCTAGTCCACATAATCCCATGAGATCTAGAAGGGAAATGAATTACTCCAACCATCTGAAAGCTATATCATCTTCAGCTTCAGCTTCAATGTTATGAACATCTGAAGGGCTGAAAGGTAAAATGGTTTATCTGGGAAATATTTCCGAAATGGTATAGTTGGTTTAGGGCTCATGAAACCCTGTTCCTTTCATAGAAAAATATACGTTTTCGGGAATTATATAAATGATGAACTTGTCTATCGAAACATACCACTTTTCCTCACTTTTAACAAGACGGTCACTGGAATATTCACTCTTTCCGTGAGGAACTCGAGGAAAGAATTTTTTGCAGATTTTTGCACTTGGCCTTTCAGCCCTCCATATGTACCCTTTTGTCATCCATTTATATGCGCCCAAGCGAAAACAGTGCCAGTGTTTCCCTATCCTGTCTTGAAGCCTTCCCTATGTACAGGGTCATTTCACTTCCATTCGTTCTGTCGCTGCGCAGCCCCTTAGATTTTTCATCCTGCATCTACGTAGGCATATTCCCTCTGGAACTCAATGGCAAGATTTGCGGAGCACCTCGTGAGACATGAGTCACTATTGTATTGGACTGTGACTTCAGGCAATAGACAAGCCAATGTCAGTTGGGACGGCCAAAACCTTTAAACCCCAAGGGTGGATTGCATAAAACTGATTTTAGCGTAATGGAGCTTTAAACCTCCTTTAGCGGCGCTAAAGGAGGCTTAAAGGAGGTTAATAATGGAACTTTAACTCCATTACACTAAAGTCAGTTTTATGCAATCCACCCCAACTCTTTTCTTTCGGATATTTATGTTGCACAATGGTAACCTTTGTATAATAATAAAAAATATTCGCTTGTACTAGTTTTGGTCAATTATATACGAAAAGTCTTAAAACACTCGATAAATTACTCATGTAGAACGTAATTAAGCAATTGATAAATCACTTCGAAAGCATAAAAAGTAAAAAGGTATTTGAATAGTTTAAGCACTTTCTAGTTTCTAAACATTCCTCACTTTGACCAAATGTTTCCAATAGTCATTAATATCTTTGATAGTGTATAACGCCGGTTTTTCCTGATTAATGAAGTCGTCTCATTTGCCGATTTCACAAATCAGCCTTGGAACCTACCTTGTGAAGTTAATGGTTCTCAAACGAAGAATCTCTGTTTAATCCACTTCTGGGAACCAGAGCAAAGGTCTAACCACTAGGTAACATTAATAACTTACCTCTTATATGCAAATGAAAAACTAAGCAAATACTGAGGATGAACTTATATTGGCGATAACTGCTGAAATTGTATTTAATTATAGCATAATCAAACCTTTCGTAAGGAGATGGCATCGATGTATATGCTACTGCGGACATGGCACTAATGTACAAGTTGAGTTAAAAAAGTAGTGGTCACTGCGGGACAGCTCCTTCATCTTTGTATTCATCTTTCCACTTTTCATGCTCACGCTATAATGCTGGCCGCTTCAATAGCTATGTTATTTCTACATTCGTGGGAAGTTTCAGCTCTGTATTTCGTGTGATTTTTTCCTTCGAATTTTTTTAAAGTACAGTTCATTGACGGAGCAAAGGGCTGTCCCTCTCGAAATTGTGGCACCCACCAAGGGAATGTGCTTGCTGGAAGGGCAGACCCTCCATTAACTTTAATCTCTGCCGGCAGCATTATTGCTTTCATGGGTAAAAAGTATGAAATCCCTGTTTCTCTATTAAAAAATCAACCATATTTAATCAGTTGACCATCACTCCATCCATCACCAATGGTACCCTCCCTTCAATCTATCTCCCGTTCAAAATTGTCACGGACTACCACGGCCAATTTATTGAACAACTACCTACTCAATATCACCAGCAATTCTGGGCCATGAAGAATTCTCGAATTCCACAGACAGATAATACTTCATTCCTTTGAAGACTTTGGTGCAATAACTAGTTATTCCGAAGTCCCATGATGGATTTATGCTGGGTCGCGACTTATACCATCTGTACACTGCACATCAGATACACGAATGCAACTCCAATGTTCCATGAAGCTCCATGATATTCCAGACTTCGATTTACGTTCTTCTCTCTCTCTCTCCCTGTGCGCGAGCGCTCGTTTGTGAGCGCACGTGAGTGTATGTGGTTATATGTGTGTGCACGTGCGTGTTACAATCACCTGAGATGTGTCGCAATCTCATTAACAATCATTAGACCTGTATACTATGGATGTAAAACAGTGACATGCAATGCATCTTATCAATTTCTTGTGAAAACGCCATTGTAAGAGAAATTAATTGATTCTTCGATAGTTCGTGACCAGGCGCTACGTGTGAAATACAACAAAAATTGCACCAAATGATCCTTAAATTCAATTTTTTGGAATATTCACTACTTAGTGGGTGAGTGGACGAAAGTGCAATGCAAGTACTGTGGGTCTATATGGATGGAAGGATGTTTCATGGAGAATTAAGGCGTGAGCAGGACTCCGTGAGGAAAGAAAGAAAGGAGTGCCTATGGGCAGGGAAGATGAATGATATTGTCTCCATTCAGCAAGATAATCACCGATGTAATGCCAAGGAATGCACCTTAGATCCCCATCTCGCATGCCACACGGTACTCACTACACGTTAGTTAGCGGCACAAATACACGGAATGCGTGGAATGCCAAGATCCCCCGCGTCCATTAAAATGAAAAGCCGATCTCCTTTCCCCATCAAAGTATTTGTGACTGACTAACTTCAGTCGACTCCGTGATCTCACGATATGAATTAACAATAAATACGAACTTCTAAAATCCGTATATAGGAATAACTTCGTCATACTCGTGAATCACGATTCCGCAACAACTGCATGGATTTTACTGCCATCCATTTGATTAATTAAGTCTAATGTAGTCGGGAAAAAGTACGAGGATACCAAGAAATGAATTTAGGAGGGAAAAATTGCTTTCACCTCTACAAAACAATGCGCTGCTTCCCAACTATGGCATCGAGTGACTGTTGAAGTAATATTGAATTCAGCTCGAGGCGCGTGAAAAGGAGTTGAACGAAAGTTAATTCAGAGCAACAAGTAATACTGCCTGCTGACATGATTTACGCGAATCGTAAGTGAGTCATTTTCCGCAGTGATAATGAGGCAGTTTCACCAGAGGATAACATCATGGCCTCTACCACCATGTGCCAGTTTTTTCATCGAATTTACAGAATTCTTGATCCCTCTTCCTAATGTATGTATATTGATGCCAGTTGTCCACGAGTGGATTGCATAAAACTGACTTTAGCGTAATAAAGCCTTAAACCTCCTTTAGTGGTACTAAAGGAGGTTTAAACCTCCTTTAGCAACGCTAATGGAAGTTTAAAGCTTCATTACGCTGAAGTAAACTTTTATGCAATCCACCCCACATCTCTCCATGGCACGAGAAGTTCCCACTAGCCTCTTCCTCCAAAGCGCAAAAGAGAAGAGCTCTGTGACCGTCTTTCGCAGGGACATGACATGATGCCACTGTACCAATCTTACATTTTCCGACAGCAATGATTGTTGCTGCGATTGGTTCCCATGCGGGGGAGTTGCATTCCAAATGAATGAAGATATCGATCGCTGGAGTTTCCTTCCAACATTGCTTTTCAAGTTTCCACAGCTCTAAAGAACAGGATGCGGCGTGATAGAAGCTTCATGCGGAAAGAGTCCATAGCTCAACTTTACAGTCTCAGCAGCATCCTGAGTCTGCTAACCCCCATTTATTCTAATTGATCGAATGAATGAGCCCTCTTCAATCGTAGTTTACTTATGCAACCGCATTCCGTTTTCAAACGTATATGAACCAGATTTTTTCCCCAGATCTCTAAGCCTTTTGCTTCCAAATAGGCAGATAAGGATATGGCGGCAGACTTAGTAGCGCTCTGGGATTAAGCAAACAAGATTGACACCCACGGGAATAGAAGAAAGAGCAAGGTACGAATGCTGAAACCTCTTTTAGTCAACGATCCCTTAAGAACAGATGGACTCCTATGATGGGAAAAGAGCTCTTCAGCCTAAAGGCCCCTTTATCTCACCTAAATGAGGTTTCGGCATTTGGGTCTCGGAGAAAGACAGCGAGGGAGGGGGAGAGAAAGCGAGGGAAGGGGAAAAGTACTGAGAGGTGAAGAGGATGAGCCGGAACTGGTGGTCCCAGGAACAGACACAAGGGTCATCCATCATTCCCACGGGGATGGGGCAGTGGTATGGTAATGGGAGATGATTCCGCTTCGCCTCCAGGCTCAGTCTCTCTCAGACTCTCACTCCAATTCCCTCTCTGTCTTTCTCCGAGACCCAAATGCCGAAACCTCATTTAGGTGAGATAAAGGGGCCTTTAGGCTGAAGAGCTCTTTTCCCATCATAGGAGTCCATCTGTTCTTAATGCCTCCAGGCTCAGTCTCTCTCAGACTCCCCCTCCAATTCCCTCCCCCCCGCCCGCCGCCCCCCCCCCCCCCTCTTCCCCCCTTCCCTCCACCTCATGTATCGGTCCCAGGGACCGTGAGGGTCCGATGACAGGCAACTATATAGAGTTGCACTCTGGTATGGATGAATGGGGAAACACATGGCCGGGCCCAGGGCAATCAAACAAAGACCGTGGCAGGTTGAGATGCAGACAAGACAAAGACCCTAATGAAGACAAGTGGCCCGTACTAGCTCTACTGCGGAACCTGGTAAAGCCTATAAAATGGGTGAAAAATGGGTCCAACTTTCCTGCTAATGACCATGGGGCATTAAAAGAGCTGATTGCCCCGATTTTTTAGAGAAACTTTTCTTTCAAGGCGAACCAACTACGCGTCACATGAATAGAATGACACGGAAACCGCGCTGACTCTGTTGGCATTCATGATGATGACACCGAGTATTTGCAAAATTTGTCAATTGTCCTTGCCTCAATCAGACTCGAGTTTATTGACCAGGGGTCCATGAAAAGTGGCTTAACAACAATGTCAGCGGTCCTAGTCCCTGGCAAAGAGAAAGGGCGTGAAGGAAGAAGAGAGAGTGGGTCTTGGTCAAATGCCAGGGGGACGAACGAGCGTAATCATAATGGTACAGCAGGGGGAACGAGAGAGAGAGAGAGAAAAAAAAAAAAAGGATAGGGAGGTATAGAGAAGAGAGAGGAGGGAGCCACCGATGGACTGCAAATTACGAGCTAATATCCCGCAGAGAATGATGAATGTCGCGGGTGGTTGGGACCTCCCGTACCCAGGAATTATTGATGACCATGTTCTTCCTTCTTCTATACAGACCAGACCCCCACCACCACCACCGTCATGCATATTCATCCCTAGATGGATGAATGAACGAATGACTAGATTCGCGTCCCCCTTTTTCGCGGCTCCCGTCCCTCAAACGGATCCACGACTTCGTCGATACGAGACAAACATGGAAAGACACTCGGGACAAAAGAGCCTGAGTGATGGTGGCTGCCACCTCCCTATCTGACAATACATACACATATGAGGGTAGGTAAAAAAAAAAATAAATAAATAAACCGTGGGCTCATAAACAGGATTCCGACTTCCTGATTCAGGACTATAATTATAACCTGTGGCTTCGACAATTGCAAAGTCAAGAGATGCAAATTTTTTTATCAAGCCGCCGTCGCAGAATGTTCCTCTCAAGATGGAGTTCCTTTAATCGCGAATGTCATGATGTGAGGGGGAGGGAGAGGGCTGACACGAGGTTTATCCAGCTGTCATTCATAGCTGTCAGTTTGTCTCTCGTCTCAAAGGGATTCCTTCCAGATCTTCCCCTTCTTTGTGTTGCGTCCGTCAGTCCATCCATTTCCAGGCTGTTTGAACGAGGAGAGATGGATCAGGGAAGGAGAATGAGAAAGTGGGAGGAAGGAAAATAAGGCTCTTCTTTACGATGATAGTTTTATAAGGATGAAAAAATGCATTCTACGCAACCGCGTATGGCATAACTCCATGCCCGATCATATGCTAGATCCCTTTCCCTTAGGAACCGTGGATTCACAAATTGTACTCAAGTAGAATAGGACGTCCTTCAGATCTTGTTTAAAAAGTATTAGGAATGAGTTTCTGCAACATACTTTTAGGACTAAAAAAAAAGGGAAAAAGGCTTTCTCTCAATTTCCAAAAATCTCAAAGCAAATAAAGCAGTTAACAATTCGTACACATTATGAAGTGAAGGAAGTTGTAGCATCAAAGCGGCTAGGAAATGAATGCTACAACGAATTGGGACAGTCAAGTGACCGTGGCTGCAGATGATCTGAAATAATGCCGCAATTACGCCTCCATTCCTAACGCGAACTCACGCTTGCAGTGGGGCAGGTGTACATGATACATTCATGATGTATATGATTCCTCCATGTGATGATAGGGAAGTCGAAACCGCCCGAGGGAGAAAGGGATGGGAAGTAGAATGACGAAGCTGATCCCATTGACCAACGCGTGTTCCGCCTATTACTCAATCACCGCTAATTATACGGTTCCTCTCGGGAATATATCGGTCTGTGCATGTTTCAGCCATACACTTGTCCCTGAGGAGTACACGTATGGCTCTTGCGTGTGCATGTATCATAATGTGTATCGATGGTCTCTATGCAGACGCTTCAAGGCGGCGAACGAGAGAGGGGGCTCAGGTATGACTTGACTAGGAACGGAATGTCAGGAGAAGAATGGACCCGAGTTGATGGAGCGAGATGAGCACAGAAAGAATTTCTTCTCTTTTTTTTTCCTACCTTTCCTTCTCATCATCTCTCATCCATCTCCCGACACCAACGCCCCTGCCCTGACTCAGCTTTACCTCTCACACGCACAAACAAAACGCCACGATTCCCCTCCTCCTTCTACCCCGAAGCTTCAAAAAAGCCTCATATGGAAAACCAACTGGAGAAGAGAGAATAAGGGAGAGAAAGCTGAAGGAGAGAATGATGAATGGAAATGCAGGATTTTCTCCTGGGTACCGCTAATGTTCCTGATGAAGTCTCTCTCTGGACTCCGTGTCCGTGGTCCGTCATGGGAGAAATGAATGGTGTATGGTAATGGAAAGACGTGCAGGGTCATGCCGACGCAGCAGAAAATACTCTAGACCGGAGTCCCCTAGAGGCTTAGCCAACCTGCACTGGAAATGGGAGACGAACGAGGAGACAGCTTCATTCCTTTCTCACCTATTGACGTTTGGAAATTTTAGCGTCGAAGCTGGCAAAGCTTCAGGCAGAAGTTGAAAATATTGGCCCTAAGGTTTGTTACTGAAGGTCAGATGATCAGAAGCTGCAGTTAGGGTGCAGGTAGGATTATAACATACTTGCACCTATGCATCGTTCATAAGGATATAGGTTCCATCCCAACAGGGCATATTAGTCTCTTTTAAATGCCTAACTGCGATCTGCATTTCATCGATTGGTTAGCTTTGACCTAAAGGCGTCTATTTATGATTAAGAGGACTGTTGAACATTGGCCAAGATGCCACCAACCCTTCTCCCCCTTTTCTCTTTCTTCCTTCCGGATCCGGATACATCATCCCTTTGAAGAAACCCCAAGTGGAGACGAGCATAGGACAGGGTACAGTGCACACACAAAGAGACATCTTTATTCCTTTCCCTGCTTCTTCCTCTTCCTTTCTCGCACTTTGACATATGACTCTTGTGACCGCTGGGTATCCAGATGCCCTCTCTCCTTTTCTCTTTTTCCTCCTTCCTGGCACCCAGGAGGAAAGCCCCTCCCATGAGATAATCTGCCTAAATGCCCCACTGGGAAATTTTGAGATTGTTGCAACAGACTCCGTGAGAATTGCACAGCAGCACACACTGAGACAAGTTGACAACTTCGTGTAACGGCCCAAGTGGGCAGAAAATTGACACTTCAGCTAGACTACTAAGGATATATCGTGAGAATACAAAATAAAAACAGAGAAAGAGAGGAAGAGGAGGCTGATAAGACGCAGCAATGAGCTCTGGTATAATTAATTATGCAGTCAATAGAGACCTGACACTGATAACGCCAAACTTCTTCCCCGCGACCCTTTAACGGTGCTGATGGCATCGATCAATACAAGAGCCGATGAATTGCAAAGATTACTCATGAAGACAATCTGGCCCGAAGTAAGCTTCTCTCCCGCGTAATATCATCATTTTTACTGCGGCAATAAGGCAAGGGGTAGAAAACTCACAGGATGTGGGATGAGACGAGGACATTTCACCAATCCTCATTTAGAATCCCTCTACAAGTCTACGACATCTCCTACTGTTTTAATTGCTCTCTCTCTCTCCCATTCACGGGAATAGGTCATCTGTAATCACTGAAAAGGGAGGATATGAAACCAAAAGACACGTTTACAAAACATTCCACACACTTACGACAAATCCCTTCAATAGAAGACGCTAACTGGATTCCTTAAAGTAGACACACTAGGAATCAATTCTCAAAAACCGAATGCACTTCAAGTGTGTAGATGTAAAACAATCACTAGTGACGGCGTAGGTTATCCTGCACCGGTGAGCTGGCAAGATGAAAACAGACCGCAATGAATGAGATACCTGCAGGTTTTTCATGAAAATCAAAACACTGCTACGGGACACTTCTTGAAAAAAAATATATTAAAAAAAAACACAATCTGAAAAACATAAAATCACTGGCATTTCTTCAGAGGGATATGCGGAGTGCGGAAGGGATGCTGTGTTAGAGGTAGAAGAGGAGGAGAAAGGAAAAGGTAAACTGAAGAAGACGAGTCAGTGTCTTCTTTCTCTCGTTGCAGGGAGAGGGATTCGGGGGGAAGGGAAGATGAAGGCGCTTTGTTCAGCTGCCCAGCCCCCCCTCCGGCCATGCCCAAATGGACTGCCCCCTTTCAAGGAGGTCTTAAATTCGCGAACTCTCCTCCCTCTGCCTCCAGAACGACACGGCTCTCTTGCTCTTATAGAATCACTTTCAACATTCTGTCACAGTCACTCTAAAGACAACGACCGTCAAACTATGTCGTACGAGGCAGGTTTAACGAGGTCTCACCATATGGTTCCTTCCTTCCCAGAGACATGGCACAAAGACTGTCATTCTGATAAATCGACCCATATCGATCCTGTGAGGATGATAAAAATCAAGTTGATTGCTCGAGTCGGCGGGGTATCCAGAAAAGTTTTTTTTTTTGAGACCCAATGAAGGTGAGGGGACAGGCGAGTCATGTATGCGATGACGCATGCACTTGGAGGGATCTTGAGCAAACTCGTCTACGGCTGTGGCCAGATCAAGGCAGATGAAGAAGAGAACCTCCAAAATAATGTATGATCGATATAGGGTCGCGCTGGACGGGGAATGGAAAGGGAACAGATGATGTCCTGGCACGCGATATTCCACGCCCAGGAGCAAGGGGAAAAGCGACCGCCCACCTCATCCAGGGATGCCTCTCCTCAAGGACAACTAAACTTCCTGGGGTCTGTTTCCCATCCTAAGGCCTTTACGGCTTCTCCTTTATTTAGACTGGGTCGGAAAACTTATTATGACGCGTGGACAATGGGTCGTTTCATCAAGCCATGAGTCCGTGACTCATTCGGGGCCTGCTCCACTTCTTACTTAACTCATTCATTAAGAATGGTGCATTTGGCTCAGCAAACATTCGAAATACCAGGCATAGGAGAGAAACGGGAAAGAGGAGTCTCTTTGATTGGGCGAAAAGAAAAAGGTGGAAGGTCCATAAAATGCATTGCAAATCAAGGGGTCGTATTCCTCCTATTCCTTTGCCCTGAGGAGATCCAAAGCTGTCAAAATTCCCGCGGCGAGTTACGAGAGGCATAAAGATGTCACATGATGTCAGCCGGGGATGAACAATGCCCTGATTGTCCCCAGGGGTCTTCCCTCTTTCTTTCTCCCCCCACTCCTTCATCTTTCAGTACCGATTCATTGAGAAATTCCGCCGCATGCAGAATGTATTATTTATAAATCCTAGTATGCCCCAAGTGGGCAAGAACCAACGCATTAAAGATTGATACAAGCCACTAAGAAAGGAAATGGTAATTCCTTCCATCTACACACGGAGGCCCGCACAAGTACATCCATGAAAGCAGTCTTACTGCACAGTTACAAAAGGGGGTTAAAAGGGTCGAAGGACCCCAGACGTGGTACCATAACCCTCCCGGGCCTCCTTCCACGACAGGATCGGGATGAAAAGGACCTTCCGGGTCAGTGAACGGGAATTCCTTTGAAGGGCGATTGAAAGAATGAATGAAGAGCGTGCCGTGTCCGATCCTCCTGCATGATAACATCTTTTCATCCAGACTCGCTCTTCTCGTTCTTTGTTCCCTGGAATCGTGTTACCTCTTACACATGGTGGGATTAAATCCCTGCAGACATCAGTGCAAGACTCGCTCGTGAAAAATTCCTACCATCGACCGAGTAATTCCCCTCCCATTTCCAGGTTCAACAATCTCGTGCGTCATATTCCGAATTAAATGGCATTTCAATCGATGAGAGACGATAAGCGGGTGAAAACTCACTAATAGGTTCACTGGACAAGGATGGAATGAAGCTCGTAAGAGAGAATGAGAAATCATGCGAGATCCGATATTAGGCCCTCGCACCTGGGAGATTAATGACCCGTGACATAATTACAGAGAATGGGGAGGACAGCCGTCCCCATATTTCAAATCGGGACTTCCGAGACTTCGTAATCAATAGCTTCGGGTCCTCCTTCAGAGCAGATTTGATCAAATAATGCAACACGCCAGCCTTCTCCTTCTCCTCCCACCCCCCTAAGAAAAAATAAGGACGCAAGACCTTGAAGTCAATAAACGTCCGAGAAGACAAAAGTTGTGTAAACATTCCATATTTTAAATTGTGAGAAAGTATGGCATGAGGCATTGAAACGCAGACTGTGCCATCCTTGAGAGGCGATTCTTACAAAGACTGCACTTTGTCTTCAAGAAATTTGCTCACCGTGTGTATGCAATCATGAGAAATAAAAAAAGTATTCGTGTGATTGAACTTAAATTGAGGGTATCGCCTGCACGATGTAATGGATACATGGACCCAGTGGTATAAACCCTGTCTGAAGCAGTGCGAGTAAAATTACGCTCATGCCACTAGTAGCCTACAATAAGGGTGTCCTTTAACCCATTCAGACCTGAATTAAGGCCACTATTGACATAATACCATTTTTTGCATTTTTGAGCTCTTTCGCAATTGTAATTGAAATTTTTATGTTTAATGTGTTATTTATTAATTATTATTATAAATTTACCATATCATACCATACATAATACATTTAATTACATAACTGAAGATTGCATAACTGACGGGTGAAAGAAGGCCTTCAATGGAATTGATCCATGCATAATTGCGCCCATTGTAGTGTAATATGGGGCGCAAAGTCATGAGAATCCCAAGAAATTACCATAGACACAATGAAAATGCTTTGTCCATTGGAATGGAAACCAGGTCTGAAAGGGTTGATACAACGTTTTCTTGGTTTGGGGATAGCAATCCTGCAAGATTCTTACTCATGAGCATAGGGGACTTGGATTGCTTCCGTTTTCCAATGCTAGTTTGCAACAAAAAAAAAAACAGTACAGAAAGAAGTTCTGAGCACAGAAATGCCCAGTATTAAGACACTTCTCACTACCATCAGTACTATCGGCTCTGCCCAGCGTTTGAGCATTTGAAATCTCGAAAGGACTGGTCATGGTCGTCTTAGATATCTTTGCTCGAGTCAACATAGTGAATTTTTTCATACTAAGCACTTTTCGGTATCGTACTTATAGCAGCCTACTGGTACTTGTTTACTCCCACATACCCATAAAATGCTTGCTACTGCCATATTACGAGTTCAAACACAGCTCATTCGTAAGGTTCCGCTCAGTAATAGTCGGTATTTGCGAGTAATTTTCAGTAGGCCTACTGTTGGTTTTATCTGCTCACCAATAGAGATCCTCAGAAGGCACAGTCGAGGGGCGTGATGAGTCCAACGCACCATACTTCATACGTAGAAACTAGTTCAGTAGTTCGTGCTGTTACTTACCTATAGATTACTAGTTAATTACGAATGAATTACCATTAATTTACCAGCACATTACTGAAATAGCTACGTCCCTTTAAGATTTTCCACTCCAATATTATAGGCCTATGCCCAATTTTAATGCTAGGGTAGGGATCCCTTACGATTAACCTTAGGTCCGAGTATGCGTACAGACCGTCTCAGCGCGAGCGAATGCACGAGAACGTGAGCTCATGCTCTCATCCGCGCTCGGTACTGATATGCAGTTCTCCAGGGACAATTGCTGCCCTGATCAAGCAGGAAGCTTTCGTTAGTTCTTGCATTTATGCCTACTCCCCCGTACAATCGGTTGTATACCAAAGAAAAGTTGCAGTACCTATCTCAAGCAAAAGATACATCGAAAGCGAAAATCTTCATGATTTTTAAATAAATTTAAAAACCTGTGCCAGATATATCTTTATATATTAATGTTTATAATACATTTTATTCGATCGGCCCAATTTTTTAAAACTCCTTAAGTGAATACATATGGGTCTGTCCGCGGCAAGTGGTCCTAGGATTTTAGCCCGGAATTTTCCTAAATATGCAAATATTACTTTCGCTACGAAACGAATGAAAGAGAATACTACATTGAAAAAAAGATTTAGTCATTATTATGGTATATTATTCATACCTCTCTCATGATACCAAAAAATGTGATGAAAATGCAAATCTGGAGAGATCGAATTGGAACTACTGGAACAGAGGCTATAATGGGCTTTCCATGCATACTGATAATTTCAAATCAGCTCAGATGTGAAGAGTAGATGTCAATTGTTCACATTTGAATGATACCTTTAGAATAAAATTTTAAAATATGTACCATATACGATAGGGGAGCGACGGTAGGATTGGAAATTATCTGAATTCCAGGAAATGCCCCTCATCTGTAGACCTCCTTTTCTTTCAGACCAATCCGTGAATTATTGATGAGACAAGATATACTCTTCTGTCTTTTCCCTCTTTCTCACTTCAGCTCCTTCCGTTTCGCTCGAAAAATAAGTAACTATTTCGCGGAATGGTACATTACCTGTATCAAAGTGCAGAAGCTTAAAATGTGATTTTACCTCCCACCACAAACTTGGCAGTAGTAATGCCAACGCTAATTGAAGGATTTCAAATAATAAGTCCTCGAGACCTTCCGAAGGCAATCCTTGCGTTAAGTCCTTTGGTGTCCCATTCATCAAAATCTAACAAGTAAAGAGAAGTACTTTTCAGTGTTTTCTGTGCTAGATCAGTACATGTGGCCCAGAAAAACTGGTACACCAATGGTTGAATCTGTCACTTCCTCATTTA